TTCTTTTGCTGCGTGTATAAATGCTTTTGCACCTATAGGTGCGAGTTTTACTATACTAGAGTCATGGTTTTTTACTTGGTTAATAGAACTGTTACTAATGCTCTGAGGAAAATCAAGTTTACGAGAAATCCAATCTATTCGAGGATTATACTTTTCTAACCATGATAAGCCTAAAATTACTGGATTAGAGGGAGATCTAATTATATTAAAAATTACGCAACTACTATGACCATTTATTACTACATCTACAGGAAGTGTTTCGTGAGTTACATCTCCAGAAGACAACGGACGACCATCTATGACTTCTACGTGTACAGGTTTAGTTTTTTGTATTAATGATATTCTATGACATCTAGCAAATTCTTCATCTAAAAAACAAGATGAGGCTCCTGAATCTACCAAGGCAGAGGCTTTGTAATTATTAGGTCCTAAACGCACATCTATTATAAAACAAGGAGATGGTTCTGAGGAGAGGATAGGACCTTTATTAGAAGTTGTACAAGATTCCAGCCGCACGGTCCCTATTGTAGCTGGACGTACTCGTTTTCGACATACTGTCTTCTTTGACAGCCGTACTCCTCATTTTGTAGTTACGTCGCTTCTTTGGACAATGTTGAGCAGTGTGCTTAGGTTCTCCACAATATAAGCACAATCCTTCTTGTCGACGACGAGACTTTTCTTGCTCAGTAAGAGGTTTGAAACGTACCGCATCAATTTGCATATCCTCTACTTCTGAAGGTATGTGTTGAGGAGACGTCGGTGTTGCCATTGAATTGTAGTAACGTTGAGGCCCACTTGTGCGACTCTCGGATCGAAATTCAAAAAGTCGATTGTCGCACTTCACAGCAAAGTCAATTGCTTGACTCAATGTTTGAGGATCAGGTAAATTGAGCATCAATTTCTTTACCTCATATTGTAATCCGTAGAGAAATTGACTCACAAGTGCGGCATCATCCCACTTGATATCAGTTGCAAGTTGTCGAAATTGCGAAGCATATAATGTTACTGATCGATTGCCTTGTCGCAAAATACGGATCTTGTTGGTTGCAACACGAATTGCATCATGTTCTCCAAACATGGATCGAAACTCCGCCAAAAAAGCCTCCAGATTATCCAATATTGGATCTCGTCGTTCAAGAAAAGATGAAAACCATGACAATGCTGAACCTGAAAAAAGTGTACCAATGAATCTTACTTGTGACCCTGGAGTTGGATAGCTCTGGGATTGAAGTTCAATCACTAGTTGGACCTGATTGATGAATCCTCGAAACTTGGATCTGGTACCATCAAACTTCTCGGGCAAGGCAACTCTCGGTTCTCTAACACTCGAAGGGTGTTCCATTCTGGGAGATGGGACATGGTTTGGTGTAGATGTTGAAGCAGCCCCAATCATCTCTATATCTTCACTTCCTACCATTCTTGTTGCTCCTTGTGGTGGTAAATTGAGTTGATGCATCGCAAGCATTAACTCCCTCAATTGTTCTTGCATCTGTGCCATTGCACTCTTCATTTCAACAAGCTCTGCCATAGTAGCACTTAGAAAAGAGAAGATGTCTAATAACGCTCAAAACAAATAGAAGAGAGGAATTGATAACAAAGAAAATACTAAGAACAATATCAGTTTAAAAGAGGGTAATCCGCAACTTCTAATGTGCTTATGTTTTATCAAGAAAAAAAGGATAATCCACTCTTAATCAAGAAAAGACAAAGCTCTGATATTGTAAGTGGACTCTTGTCAATCTGTCAGTGACAAGAACTCGATGAAAGCTAAAGAGTAAGTGAGACTTTTCTCAAAAAGAAATAGGACAAAATAGAAATATGTATATTAAGAAAGAAACTGGAATGGCTATTGCCAAAATACAAGAAAACTAGAGACCCTTGAAACTAGACTAGAAGCAAGAAAGGAGTTGACAAGAGTGAAGAGGGCTTCACTCTTGCCTCTATATATACTATCTAACTAGAAGCCACGTGGCGATGTTCTATAAGACCTCCAATATATGTTGACTTTCTAGGCCACATGCCTTTGCTTGCAAGGCAAGTTTTCTATGGATGGACCACGTAGTTAGCTTGTTCTTTAAGCTTCCAACATGCATGGCACATGGCTAACTTGTTGACCAAGTTTCTAACCTAAAAGTCAACTATAGACTCCTATAAAGTCAAAGCAGCGTCTATGAAGCTTCTAAGAAGCTTCTCTAGAAGATATTACATAATTAACCTACTTTTACATACTTTTATCTATTCATATAGGTAATTATATGTATGTCCGTGACACCTATTGAAGAAAAGAAGCTTAGAAACTACAATTACATAGCATCAGCAAGGTTTGCTTACAAATATAAGTGTGGAGTAAGATGACTCTTACTTCCAACACTCTTTACTTATAGGTGGATCGTTCATCTAATATAGATGAAATTCATTTACATCCAACTAAACCCTAGCCACCACCATGGTAACTTCTTTTTACCGCTTTGTTGCCTATTCACTATTAGCAACTTACTATGATTAATCTTTAGCTATTAGTAACTAAGCAAGGGCTTGCTGATCTTTAACAATAGAGGTTAGACATGTGGCGCACATCTAAGCAACTTGCTCTACAAATTAGACATGTGTCCTACAAGTTGAACGCGTATTGGAGGTCCAATAGCATATCGCCACATAGCTCTTAATTAGATAATATATATAAAGGCAAGAGTGAAGCCCTCTTTACTCTTGTCAACTCTTTTCTTGTTTCCAGTCTAGTTTCAAGAGTCTTCATGTTTTCTAGTCTTTGGCAATAGCCATTCCAATTTTTTTTAATATATATACTTGTTTATTTATGTTTTGTTACCTTTCTTTGAGAGAAGGGTCACTTGTTTGAATTACTTTTCATTGAGTTCTTGTCCTTGATAAATAGCATCATAAGTGTGAAATGAATACTTATAAGATGTCATATGCTTAGAACACCTTGAATCCACAATCCATCTTGACATGGCAGCTATAGAGGTCCCATTTGTTGTCGTGAATGCATAATCTTGTCCTCCAAACTCATCTTGAATACTATTTGCATTCTACTTCTCCATCTTTTTGCCTTTGTAGTAATTTCGAGCAAAATGGCCTACTTTGCTACAAATAAAGCAAGATTTGACATTACCTTGTTGATTTAAATAGTTGCTTTTGCCTTGACCTAAGTAGAGTGCTGAATCTTCACTTTGGGGCTCATTTTTTTTTCTTCTTGGTTACTTCATGGATAAGTCTTATTGTCACATAGTCCATTGTAAGTTCTTTTAGCTTAATGGACTTCAATACCACAATAAGGTAGTTGTAGGAATTGGGAAGGCTCATCAGTAAGGTCATGATAATATCACTTTCTTCTAAAGACTTGTCAATAATTGCTAGTTAGTTTGCAAGAGCCTTTACCTTATTGACATGAACCATGAGGTCTTTACCTTCTTTCGTCTTGTAAGTGAAGAACTTCATCCTTGTATAGATGATATTGGATAAGCTCTTGCTCTTATAGATGTTACAAAGAGTCTTCCATGCTTCCTCTAGTCCTTTGCAAGAGATAATGTGGGAGAAGTTGGCTTCATCCACATTGGTTGCAATCAATCTAAAAGCCTTCTTTTTACAATGTATGAACTCCTTCTCTTTTATATCAGCATCTATGCATGGAGTCTCTTCACTTTCATCTACAATATCCCAAAGATCCAAAGACGACAATAAAAGCTCCATTTTGACCTTCCAATAGTAGAAATTCTCACCTCTGAACTTCTCAATTACTTTCAATCATTCACCGTCACTTAAAGCCATGTCTAAGGGAGAGATGTTCTAAAAAGGATTGAAAGAAGAAGTCCTAATGCTCTCAAAATCAACAAGGAAGTATTGCTGCCTTAGAATCTCAAAATCCCTCTTTGTGAACAAATTTGTGTTCTTCTTCTAAAAAACACTCTCAAACTCACTTCTAAGACTTTTTACAAGTCTAATGACATATCTAAATGTCTAAAATTAGATTTTCCACTCAAATATCACTCTAATGCTTACAAAATACTTTTATGCACAATAAGAGGCGTTTTAAGCACATTCAACATCTATAAGACATGAAACTACAAAGTTAGACCACCAAAGATCTATTTCAACAAGAAAACATAATGCAAGTATTGTATAACTTTGCTTTAAGGTGAAAAACCAAATACCAACACCAAAAATGCTCTCAATCATAAATAAGCATAAATCAAGACCTCAACCTAGATCTGAGTCTGAAAGTTAGGTACTTCTAAATCCTAACATCAGCAACAACAAATTGATCTACTCTACATATCAACAACCATTTCAAAGAACTTCAAAACACTCAAGCAAATGTGAGTGAGTCCATAACCTATTGAAGAAAAGAAGTCTAAAAGCTACAAACACTTAGCATCGACAAGGTTTGTACACAAAGAGAAGTGTGGAATAAGATAACTCTTATTTCCAACACCCTTTACTTATAAGTGGTGGTTGTTAACCAATGAAGCAACTTCCATCCTTTTGATATTACATCCATATCTTACTTCATTCCACTCAACTTTAGATTCTTCTTTACTTAGCTGCCACCTACAAACCCTAGTCCCTACTATAATAACTTCTTTTATCTCTTTGCTACATTTTGACTATTAGCGACATACTATGCTTAATCTCAATGTGGTGGTAACTAAGCAAGAACATGTTGATCTTCAACAAAAACTTTCTACATTATGCTTTAGATATTATATTGCAATCCCCATGCAAAAATGAGTTAAGACACATATAAGTATGAAATGGGGGTTTGTTATTTTGATTTTGCATATTTGTGAACAAGATTGTGGGGGACACATGCTGTATCATCGACCTCAACCTCCTGTCCCTTGAGGAATCCAGGGTCAGGAGAGATGGGTCGATGATATTCGTTGAAAGTAACCGTGACCCCACAGACTCAACGAGACGGAGAAAACAACGAGACGGAGAAAAATAGAAAATGTCAGCCCTCGGTCTTCACGTCCAGCCATCTATCTCCCAGTTTGCACCCAACTGACGGCCTCACAAAAAGCCTTTGGTCGCACTGGTGTTGGAATCGAGTCATTGATCGTCTTTCCGGTCGGCTTGAAAGCTAATCCCTGTGATTGCTAGTGGATCCGAGAGTTTTGCTGAGCGATTCCTAAGTGGGCTGCGATGTTGCTAGCTATTGTACATAGAGAGTAGATTTAACTTAATTAATTTATTTTTGTTTGGTATACGAGGTTTTGCTTTTTGTAAGGTCTTGTTTAGAATGAGATGAGGAATGGTAGAGGGAAGTGTGCGAGTAGGGAGCAGAGTGCGCGTTCGTCGCGGCCGCCAAGGCTTCGGTCCATGAGGCGCGAGAAACTCGTGCAGGCGTCCACAAGTTCAGTTGGGTTGAAGCCAAGTTCTAGCAAGGAGAAGGCCATCGAGTTCGACCCTGCCACTCTGGTGCCTGTGATTGGCAAGGTTCGTTTCCGTCTCACACTGTTGCACTCTTCTAGCCCACAATTAGTTGGCTTGGCTCGCTTGGAATGATTTATCCTAGTAACATTAGTTTCTTGACCTCGCTTTTACAGAAAGACCCTACTCAAGTTGCGAAATTCAACGATGATGGCGACAACCGGATCGATACAAACATTACCTTTGATGTGGACAATGCTGCGAACGAGTCGGGAAAGGGGCTCCAAGACGACGAGATCCAAAGACGTGATATGAAGGTCGCAGATACGTTTCTTCTCGAGGACAGGAGCATACCTGTTAACAATCGAACAGCTGATCCGGGACAAATTCCCGTCATTCCGGGTAAAACTGAGGACGATGCATATGGTGGTGTTTTGCTTGCTGAATTGTTTATTTTGTGACTTTTAAAATAGGATTAAATTGCATTGAATCACGCACATGTCCTTGCGGTATGATCTTGGTGCGTTGGATCTTGTATTATGATATCGATTATTTCCCATGTGTGTGTATTCCTGTTGAAAATGTATCAGTTTCGAGATTTCTTCTGATTTAGCATCTTTGACGCGGGTTGTTTAGAATTGGCCGTTTCAGCTCCAGTTTGATGCGGTGATTACACATCAACTGATTACGCATTCTCTGGATATAGGTTTTTCAGTGGAAACCGCACTGGAGAGGTCGGCGAGTCTCACGGATAGCGAGAATCAGGGTTCTTTGACAGCGCCGCTAGCCACCAGTGAGACCGAGGGAGCGACATCCCACAATTCCAGAACCTCGGCTGACACGACGGCTTCTCCTCGGGTATGATACAGGCCTAAAAGCAAGTGTTGGTTTCTAGCTGTGGCATGTCTCACGTTCTCTTGCTTCTCGAAGAAAAAGAAAGCAAGAGGAGTGACTTTCAAGAGAGATGTGTGAGTGGAGAGATATATGCGAGGGTTATACTAAGATTCATAGTAGTAGAAAGAATAAACTTCTCTGTAGGAGCAAAGTTACCTGGTAATAGAGCAACATGGTCAAGATGCACTAGGCTAACTTCTCTTGGATATCTTCTTCTCCGAGAACACTCCAACTTGCTTCACTGAATCAACAAGTTGGTTGTTTGATAGGATTATCAACCGTGGAAGGTGTGGTTTTCCAACTGCACAGGAGCACCCGGCGAAGAGGTTTTGGACGTTGTCTTCTTTCATGGCCTCCAAATTGGTCATGGAAGGAACGCGCGAGAAAAAAACATGGACTAATTCTGATGGAGCACTCTGGCCGAAGGATTGGCTACCACGTTTGCTTGAAGGAATTCTCAACGGGAGAAAGCTGCGAGTGGTGGGCATTGCATACAACGCACAAGCAAGTTCGTGGCGAACTGGTGATTATGGTGTGAGAGCCGATGGACATAAAGCTATTGCTCATGATTTGTTCCAGATTCTGGTCGTGTCTGAAAGGTAAGTATATTATTATTTTTGTCTAGCGGTGAATGTAGACCGTTACAGTAGTCTTTGGCTAGTTAGCTTATATGATTTGTTTTGCTGGGAACAACGATGATTAGAAATTACGTGTAGGTGAAGGTCCAGACTTCACATTCATCCTTACCAGGGTTGTTGATGGTGCCGTCTTGTTTAATTTTGTGCAGGTGTTCCTTGGGAAGAAATCCATTTGTATTAGTCAGCCATTCTTATGGTGGTATTGTCATAAAGAGCTTGGTGGCCTATTGCAATGACGTTTCCAATTTACCACATGTGAGAGAAGTGGGTTATCTCAAAATTGCAGCAATCGACGCCGCAGCTAAGTTTATGGAAGAGCTCCAGGCGTGTGTGTTCTATGGTGTGCCACATAGAGGATCAATTTTTGCCACAATCGCCAGTTGCTTTTTCATGTGCATGGGAAGGACTGTTTCCATTGACCTGAGGCCTGGCAGTCGGGAAATCTTGCAATTGAATATGGAGTGTGAATTGGCTATTCGCAAGCGACATGTGATACAATACGCATTTATTGAAACCATTCCGGTGGTAAGTCGAGGGTCTACTTTTCTCTCGGTCTAATAGCTGGATATGTCCATCTCAACTTTCATGTCCGATTCATAGCCCTGTTCTAGGTTTCGAGAAGCCTTCTTCAACGTATGATTAATTCACTAATAGGTCAAACTCTTTCCAACACTGAAAAGAACTTATAATATGATCTTGTAGTACTTCACACGTACAAATTTATACATCTGCATTTCAATATTCCGATAACCTATGGAACATCAAGCATAAGATCTGTGTTTTGTACTTCAAATAGGATTTAGTTAGCATGGTAAAAGTTTTGAGTGTCTCATCTGTGGAATGTAGACTGACCAAATATTTGTGGTTGAAAAATATAACCCTCAAATAGATTGAATTTCTCATAATCTTAACTTTTCTAGTAGTTTAATCCAAAATCCCACTAGTCAAGTGGAAATACATAAGTCTGGTACATCCAAACCCTTACTAATAGGTGCGAGAGCTTTCATGCATGCCGCAAAAGAAGGGTCATCTTTTGCTATATATGCCATGCAAATTTTTGATGGTAGAAAAATGTCAAGTAGTATTCCTAGCCAGTATCAAGATTTCTAAGACGTTTTTGAAAAGAAGAATGCAGATATCCTTCTAGAGCATCGTCCTTATGATTGTTCTATTGATCTTTAAGAAGGAGCTCAACCACCATTTGGACCAATCTACAGCCTATGACAAAACGAGTTGGCTGCACTCAAGGAGTACATTTATGAAAATTTGGTTAAAAACTTCATATGCCATTCTAAATCTCCAACCAGGGCTCCTATCTTGTTTGTAAAGAAAAAAGACGAATCTCTGCGGATGTATGTGGACTATTGAGGACTCAATAAGATCACTATCAAGAATAGGCATCCTCTGCCTTTGACTTCAGGACTTCTTGATCAACTAAATCAAGCAAAGATCTATACAAAAATAGATCTACGAGGAGCATATAATCTGGTACGCATTAAAGAAGGTGATGAATGGAAAACTACATTTTGAACCAGGTATGGGCATTTCGAATATAATGTCATGCCTTCTGGACTCACGAATGCACCAGTTGCTTTCCAACATCTAATGAATGATGTCTTTCGTGAGTTTCTTAATGATTTTGTCGTATGTTATTTGGACGACATTCTAATCTACTCCAAGAATACAAAAGAGCATGAAGTTCATATTCGTTAAGTATTACAAAAACTTAGAGATGTAGGGTTATATGCCAAGTTAGAAAAGTGTGTATTCCACACTACTCAAGTTGACTTCCTAGGGTACATGATTTCTAATGAAGGGCTAATGATGGATCCGAAGAAGGTCCAAACTATCATAGATTGGAAGATTCCAAGAACAGTAAGAGATGTGTAATGCTTCTTGGGCTTTGCCAATTACTACCGGATTTTCATCAAGAATTTTTCTCAAGTTGCAGCCCCACTTACACGTTTGACTTGTAAAGATAAACTCGAGTGGAATAAAGAAGCTGAAGCAACTTTTGATGCTTTAAAGAAAGAGTTTACTTTTGCATTGATCTTATATCATGTTGACTTCTCCAAGGTATTTTTCATGGAAACAGATGCATCAGACTTTGCCTTGAGGGCAGTATTATCACAAATAGGAGTAGATGACAAACTCCATCCAATAGCTTTTCATTCCAGAAAATTTTCAGCAGCCGAGATTAATTATGAAATCCACGACAAAGAGCTCCTTGCAATCGTGGATTCATTTCAAGAATGGTATCATTATCTAGAAGGCACCTCAAGTCCAGTCACCGTGTATACAAATCATAAGAATCTTGAGTATTTCATGTTGGCACGTATTTTGAATCGTCGCCAAGCTCGTTGGAGCATGTCTTTATCAAGATTTGATTTCAAGATCACTTATCGATCCGGAACACAACAAGGTTTGTCGGACGTCCTTTCTAGATGTTCTTATCTTGCACCAAAAGAAGAAGATGCATCTTTTGATCAACAAAGAACAATTCTCTTGAAACCAAAATATTTTCACCTTCGAGCAATGAAATCAATATTGACTGCTGATTCAACTTTTGTCAAGCAAATTCAATCAAGTATGTCCTCTGATCTTCTTGTTCATGATATCAAGAATGCTTCTTCCAAGTCTCATGATACTTCCAAGTTTGAGTTCAAGAACAACCTACTCTATTTCGAGGGACGATTATACATTCTAGAAGGTGAAGCACGATTATGTGTACTTCAAGCTCGTCATGACTTTCTAGCAGCCGGACATTTTGGATACAATAAGACTTTGGAGCTAATATCGAGAGATTTTTGGTGGCCTCAAACATGGAAGACAGTCAAAGACTTTGTTCAATCATGTGATATTTGTTCAAGATCCAAAACTCCTTGCCATTAACCTTATGGACTTCTTCAATCGTTACCAATTCCAAAACAAGCATGGTCTTCCGTTTCTATGGATTTTATCATAGATCTTCCGATCTCAGGTTCGTATGATTCTATATTCGTGATAGTAGATCGTTTTACCAAGATGGCACATTGTGTACCATGTACAATATCTATCACAGGTGAAGAAATGGCTAAGCTTTTCCTTGATAATATCTTTTGATATCATGGACTATCCAAGGATATTATTTCGGATAGGAGGATTCAATTTGTATCAAGATTTTGGAGAAGCCTTTTCAAAATTCTAAAGGTAGACATAAAGCTATCTTTGACCTTTCATCCTCAAACTGATGGACAAATGCAGCGCGTAAACCAAGTCTTGGAGCAATACTTAAGGTGTATCATTAATTACAAACAAGATGATTAGACAACTTTCTTACTATTGGCAGAATTTGCTTATAATAATACGGTGCATTATTCAATGCAACAAACACCTTTCTTTGCCAATTATCGTTATCATCCACGACTTGATACTTTTGACTTTTCAAAAGTTGAAAATTTGGTGGCAGAAGATTTGGCAAATCATTTGTCAGAGCTTCATTCAATAATGAAGGTACAATTAAAGAAAGCTCAAGAATGACAAAAGACCAACGCAAATGCTTATCGAAAGTAACAACCACAATTCAACGTGGATGATAAGATATGGCTATTATGCCGCAATATCAAGACTACTTGTCCTTGTGACAAATTGGACTATTGTACGCTTGGACCTTTTCCTATTTGTGCACAAATCAATCCAGTTGCGTATCGATTACACCTACCGAAGTCAATAAAGATCCATCTTGTATTTCACATGTCTCTTCTTGAACCATATAAGATAACGAGCATACCAATAAGAAGACAAGTGCCACTTCCAAAGATAAAAGTGGACAATAATGAAGAATTTGAGGTAGAAGAAGTCTTAGATTTAAGGCGGCGCCGTAATAGGTTGGAATATCTTGTTCATTGGCGAGGATACGATATTAATGAACGCACATGAAAGCTAGCAAAGAATCTTGCCAATACAGCAAAGAAGGTGGAAGCTTTTTATTGACGACATCCATCAAAACTAAGCTGAAGATTTTAACTATAAAAGAAACAAAATTGAGGCAAGATAACATTCTACTTTCACTCCCTATTTGTTTCCTTTTCGTATTTTTGGCGCTAAGAAGATGGAGAATCAACAACCAGTAGATTCAACTCAAGAGCCATCATTTGGTGACTTGTCGGATGAGACATTGTGATTGTCACAACCTTCAAGACGAAGCAATTGAGATGAAGACCCTCAAGAATGACATGTTCTTCCTCGAATAGATGGCGAGATACAACGCATTTGGTATCACGACCTTATGTCATGGACATACATTGGAAGATTCTTCGAATATTCTTCTAGAATATTCTCTAAAGATTCTCTAAAGATTCTTTTAGAAGGTTCTAGAAGATTCTTAGAATATTCCCTAAAGATTCTCTTAGAAGGTTCTAGAATATTCTTAGAAGGTTCTAGAATATTTTGATAGATTCTAGAAAGTTGCTCGAGAAGTTTCCTAATTAGTAGAAGTTGTTGGAGAAGCGTCCTAGTTAGCGGAAGTAGCTCGAGAAGCTTCCTATTCATTAGTATATATAAGAGTCGAGGCTGAAGGGTTCTTCAGTCTCGACAACACATCTCTTAGAGTTCTAGCTCTTCTTTCTGGTGTTGTTCTTGTACTCATCTGATTAATCCAGTTCTTTTTGAACTTCTTGTCTAGTTTTCTTGTCTGTATTTTGTATCCGTGACAGTTTGTCGAGACTGCATTTTCATTGGTATCAGAGCTAGTTCCTTCTTGCTAGAGAGTGGATTACCCCTCTTCTTGAAGGTGTGCTAGTGCTTTAGAGGTTGCGGATTACCCTCCTCTAAATTGATATCTCTTCTTTCTCAATATTGGAGCCTTATTCTTCTTGGAGAGAGTGGATTACCCCTCATCTTGGAGTCTTAAGGCGTTTTAGAGGTTGCGGAGTACTCTCCTCTGAACCAATATTGTCCTCTTGTCAAAACTCTTTTTTCTTCTTTCTGAAGGTTAGCCGAAGGTTAAGACGTTAATATGGCTGAAAGTTTGGAATCCAAACTAGACGCCATCATAAATGCTCTTGCCTCTTTGTCACATAGGACAACAGAGATCGAAGGAGTCATGGTAGGACTCCATAACAATGGAGCATCTGGGATAGCGCCATCTAAAGCATATCAGCCTCAAACTTCTGCGCCAGAAGAAGCAGTTCTACCTTCAGTTCAACAAGATCGAGTAGTCCTACAACGAAAGGAGCCTCGAGTTAGTCTTCCGGATAAGTTTGATGGAACTCGTTCCAAGTTTCGAGGTTTTGTCAACCAAATCAGGTTGATAACAATTTTACAGCCCGAACGTTATCCGACAGAGGAAGCGCGTGTTGGGCTTGTTGGAACCTTACTTACAGCACAAGCTCTGTCTTGGTTTACTCCCTTGTTCGAGAAGCGATCGCCAATCCTGAGCAACTTTGAAACGTTCTTGGAGGCGTTTGCAGAAGCATTTGGCGAGCATGATAAAGTTCGATGGGCTACAACAAAGATTCGATTGCTACGACAAGGAACACGCTCTGCATCAGTCTATGCCTCGAATTTCAGACAATTGGCAAGTGACATTAATTGGGGTGAAGATGCGTTGATGAGTCAGTTTTATTGGGGCTTGAAGGATGATGTGAAGGACTTGCTGTTATCTCTTCCTGATCCTCAAATGCTCAACGAAGCTATTAGCGAAGCTATAAAGTGTGACAACCGCCTATTCCAGCGTCGCCAAGACCAACGTCCAAGACACCAAATGACTCGTTATGACGTGACTATGTTGCAAATAGCTTAAACTCACATTCGGAGGCAACAAACATGCAAATCGACACGGCGCGTGTCCGATCTCTTACTCCAACAGAGAAGAAACGGCGTATGGAAGAAAGGTTATGTTTGTACTGTGGAGAAGAAGGTCACAAGGTTAGAAATTGTCCAAAGAAGCAAAATTGGTACCCTGTCAAGACTAGAAGTGCGATGATTTCAGAAAACGACGACGCCCAGCCACAGTAGGAACCGTGCGACTGGACAATCTAATATCACGACAACAATCAGGTTCCTCCTTCTCTGTCCAACCTGCCCGTTGTTTTATAATTCCTTTGTTTTTAGGCCCTCAAAAACAAAAAACTTTAGCTTTATTGGATTTGGGGGCATCTACTTGTTTTTTAGATGAAGAGTTTGCTAAACGCCACAAGATTCGTTTAGTACAGAAGTCCAAACCTGTTCACGTAGAGGTGATAGATGGACGACCCTTATTATTAGGCAACGTTACCTACGAATCAGAACCTATAGAAGTGGTGTTTAAGGACCATAGTAGTCACGTTATTTTTAATATTATTAGAACCCCATCAAGCCCTGTTATCCTTGGTCTTTCTTGGTTAGAAGATCATAATCCGTCGATTGATTGGAGGCTACGAAGGATAACATTTCCTGAAAAAAATAATAATAAACTTGTTGGTAGAACCTACATGAAGAAATCCATGTTTATTGGAGCGAGAGCGTTCCTAAGATCGTCCAAAGAAGGCGTACCATTTGTCATTTATGCAGCTCCAACTAGCGGCGAGAATATCTCAACATCGAATATACCAGAGCAATATAGAGATTTCGAAGACGTGTTTCAAAAGAAGAACGCCTATATACTACCGAAACATCGACCATATGATTGCACCATAGACTTGGAAGAAGGAGCGCAACCACCTTTTGGTCCAATATACAACCTATCGCAGACGAAGTTGGCAGAATTGCGGAAGTACATCGATGAGAATCTAGCCAAGAATTTTATGCAAATGCAAGAGCCAGAAGCGCAGCCACTACCGTTCATCTAAAATATCACCCATTCAATAACATAAGACAGTCATTCTTCAACTTCATTAAAACCCTAAATTTCACCAGAGCTGATCCAACCATCAATAACTCCATCGGCAGAATTTTAACTAAAGAAGCTATAGCATAACTTACTCAATTACAACAAACTACTAGTACATGCTACTTAAAGACGTATTGTTATATATCAACAAAAGAAAAAACTATTGCAAAATGAACAAGAGAAAACACACAATCACTGCAGAAACGAATACGTCATGCATTCATAGATTTCAACATTGTTTGACCTCCACATTATCAACTCAGTTTTGGGCTCCCACCTAGTAATAATAAAGAACCCCCCTGCCCCCCCTCTCACCCCTCTCGCCTTTTAAACCGCGGCATCAACCACTTGGGCTGTGCGCGAAGTTCACCTTCAAGGCCCTCCCTCTCATATCAAAGCCGTCCAATGCACTGATCAAAGCGTGCGCGTCGTCGTTGGTGGCCATCGTCACGAACGCAAACCCTCGGCTCTTCCGGCTCTGCTGGTCATAAATCACCTTCACTCTCTTCACGTCGTCAACATGCAAACCTTGGCAAACCTTGGCAAGGTCCGCTTTGCCAACACTCCGCGCCAAGTTCCCCACGTATAACGTGGACCCGAACTGCGCCGCCGCACACTTATGCGTGGGGGCAGGGGGCCTTATCCCTGATCATATTGGTCACATGAGCTGTACGCCAAACCAATCAGCATGCATGAGCACAAAAATCCGATGAAGAAACAAAAGCATTGAAGTATTTCACCCACAACATTCAACAAATGCTACAGGAAAGCTGGAGCTTGAACGGCCAATTCTAAACAACCCGCGTCAAAGATGCTAAATCAGAAGAAATCTCGAAACAGATACATTTTCAACAGGAATACATACACATGGGAAATAATCGATATCATAATACAAGATCCAACGCACCAAGATCATACCGCAAGGACATGTGCGTGATTCAATGCAATTTAATCCTATTTTAAAAGTCACAAAATAAACAATTCAGCAAGAAAAACACCACCATATGCATCGTCCTCAGTTTTACCCGGAATGACGGGAATTTGTCCCGGATCAGCTGTTCGATTGTTAACAGGTATGCTCCTGTCCTCGAGAAGAAACGTATCTGCGACCTTCATATCACGTCCTTGGGTCTCTTCATTGCAGTTTTGGGCCGCACTACCTCCGTGAATAAAGTAGCCTATTTCAAACACAAAACCAAGCAGAATAAGTTCCTGTTACTGCAACATGTGAAAAGCAGAAAATCAAATGGAGCTGAGCAATGAGAATCCTAAACTCTCTTGAGGATGTAATTGTGAAGTTTCGAGGGTTGTGTGACTCCCTCTAGTTGCACTTATTACTACAAATTCATAATAAACACCTCCCTCCCCTACGACTAGAGTTCTTGAAGATATATCGTCCAACACATAGCATGAGCCAGCCTTGTCAAGCATGTGACGCTAGTTGGCAGTACCTGAATACGCATTTTCATTCGTAGGGATAGGCACCACTAATGGTGCACTATCCAGGACTGTAGCAACTTTCTCGATCAACTCTACAAACTTTACAATCCCTACAGACTGAATTGTCCTAGGCTTGCACACAGTCTTGTGACTGGTGCCCGGTAGAGTCACACATTCAAAATCATCAAGGAACCCTCGTGCAGAGGAAGAATCTACCACCATGCAGTTCCATACCTGCACAGCATATTTGGTCAGTCTACATTCCACAGATGAGACACTCAAAACTTTTACCATGCTAACTAAATCCTATTTGAAGTACAAAACACAGATCTTATGCTTGATGTTCCATAGGTTATCGGAATATTGAAATGCAGATGTATAAATTTGTACGTGTGAAGTACTACAAGATCATATTATAAGTTCTTTTCAGTGTTGGAAAGAGTTTGACCTATTAGTGAATTAATCATACGTTGAAGAAGGCTTCTCGAAACCTAGAACAGGGCTATGAATCGGACATGAAAGTTGAGATGGACATATCCAGCTATTAGACCGAGAGAAAAGTAGACCCTCGACTTACCACCGGAATGGTTTCAATAAATGCGTATTGTATCACATGTCGCTTGCGAATAGCCAATTCATACTCCATATTCAATTGCAAGATTTCCCGACTGCCAGGCCTCAGGTCAATGGAAACAGTCCTTCCCATGCACATGAAAAAGCAACTGGCGATTGTGGCAAAAATTGATCCTCTATGTGGCACACCATAGAACACACACGCCTGGAGCTCTTCCATAAACTTAGCTGCGGCGTCGATTGCTGCAATTTTGAGATAACCCACTTCTCTCACATGTGGTAAATTGGAAACGTCATTGCAATAGGCCACCAAGCTCTTTATGACAATACCACCATAAGAATGGCTGACTAATACAAATGGATTTCTTCCCAAGGAACACCTGCACAAAATTAAACAAGACGGCACCATCAACAACCCTGGTAAGGATGAATGTGAAGTCTGGACCTTCACCTACACGTAATTTCTAATCATCGTTGTTCCCAGCAAAACAAATCATATAAGCTAACTAGCCAAAGACTACTGTAACGGTCTACATTCACCGCTAGACAAAAATAATAATATACTTACCTTTCAGACACGACCAGAATCTGGAACAAATCATGAGCAATAGCTTTATGTCCATCGGCTCTCACACCATAATCACCAGTTCGCCACGAACTTGCTTGTGCGTTGTATGCAATGCCCACCACTCGCAGCTTTCTCCCGTTGAGAATTCCTTCAAGCAAACGTGGTAGCCAATCCTTCGGCCAGAGTGCTCCATCAGAATTAGTCCATGTTTTTTTCTCGCGCGTTCCTTCCATGACCAATTTGGAGGCCATGAAAGAAGACAACGTCCAAAACCTCTTCGCCGGGTGCTCCTGTGCAGTTGGAAAACCACACCTTCCACGGTTGATAATCCTATCAAACAACCAACTTGTTGATTCAGTGAAGCAAGTTGGAGTGTTCTCGGAGAAGAAGATATCCAAGAGAAGTTAGCCTAGTGCATCTTGACCATGTTGCTCTATTACCAGGTAACTTTGCTCCTACAGAGAAGTTTATTCTTTCTACTACTATGAATCTTAGTATAACCCTCGCATATATCTCTCCACTCACACATCTCTCTTGAAAGTCACTCCTCTTGCTTTCTTTTTCTTCGAGAAGCAAGAGAACGTGAGACATGCCACAGCTAGAAACCAACACTTGCTTTTAGGCCTGTATCATACCCGAGGAGAAGCCGTCGTGTCAGCCGAGGTTCTGGAATTGTGGGATGTCGCTCCCTCGGTCTCACTGGTGGCTAGCGGCGCTGTCAAAGAACCCTGATTCTCGCTATCCGTGAGACTCGCCGACCTCTCCAGTGCGGTTTCCACTGAAAAACCTATATCCAGAGAATGCGTAATCAGTTGATGTGTAATCACCGCATCAAACTGGAGCTGAAACGGCCAATTCTAAACAACCCGCGTCAAAGATGCTAAATCAGAAGAAATCTCGAAACTGATACATTTTCAACAGGAATACACACACATGGGAAATAATCGATATCATAATACAAGATCCAACGCACCAAGATCATACCGCAAGGACATGTGCGTGATTCAATGCAATTTAATCCTATTTTAAAAGTCACAAAATAAACAATTCAGCAAGCAAAACACCACCATATGCATCGTCCTCAGTTTTACCCGGAATGACGGGAATTTGTCCCGGATCAGCTGTTCGATTGTTAACAGGTATGCTCCTGTCCTCGAGAAGAAACGTATCTGCGACCTTCATATCACGTCTTTGGATCTCGTCGTCTTGGAGCCCCTTTCCCGACTCGTTCGCAGCATTGTCCACATCAAAGGTAATGTTTGTATCGATCCGGTTGTCGCCATCATCGTTGAATTTCGCAACTTGAGTAGGGTCTTTCTGTAAAAGCGAGGTCAAGAAACTAATGTTACTAGGATAAATCATTCCAAGCGAGCCAAGCCAACTAATTGTGGGCTAGAAGAGTGCAACAGTGTGAGACGGAAACGAACCTTGCCAATCACAGGCACCAGAGTGGCAGGGTCGAACTCGATGGCCTTCTCCTTGCTAGAACTTGGCTTCAACCCAACTGAACTTGTGGACGCCTGCACGAGTTTCTCGCGCCTCATGGACCGAAGCCTTGGCGGCCGCGACGAACGCGCACTCTGCTCCCTACTCGCACACTTCCCTCTACCATTCCTCATCTCATTCTAAACAAGACCTTACAAAAAGCAAAACCTCGTATACCAAACAAAAATAAATTAATTAAGTTAAATCTACTCTCTATGTACAATAGCTAGCAACATCGCAGCCCACTTAGGAATCGCTCAGCAAAACTCTCGGATCCACTAGCAATCACAGGGATTAGCTTTCAAGCCGACCGGAAAGACGATCAATGACTCGATTCCAACACCAGTGCGACCAAAGGCTTTTTGTGAGGCCGTCAGTTGGGTGCAAACTGGGAGATAGATGGCTGGACGTGAAGACCGAGGGCTGACATTTTCTATTTTTCTCCGTCTCGTTGTTTTCTCCGTCTCGTTGTTTTCTCCGTCTCGTTGAGTCTGTGGGGTCACGGTTACTTTCAACGAATATCATCGACCCATCTCTCCTGACCCTGGATTCCTCAAGGGACAGGAGGTTGAGGTCGATGATACAGCATGTGTCCCCCACAATCTTGTTCACAAATATGCAAAATCAAAATAACAAACCCCCATTTCATACTTATATGTGTCTTAACTCATTTTTGCATGGGGATTGCAATATAATATCTAAAGCATAATGTAGAAAGTTTTTGTTGAAGATCAACATGTTCTTGCTTAGTTACCACCACATTGAGATTAAGCATAGTATGTCGCTAATAGTCAAAATGTAGCAAAGAGATAAAAGAAGTTATTATAGTAGGGACTAGGGTTTGTAGGTGGCAGCTAAGTAAAGAAGAATCTAAAGTTGAGTGGAATGAAGTAAGATATGGATGTAATATCAAAAGGATGGAAGTTGCTTCATTGGTTAACAACCACCACTTATAAGTAAAGGGTGTTGGAAATAAGAGTTATCTTATTCCACACTTCTCTTTGTGTACAAACCTTGTCGATGCTAAGTGTTTGTAGCTTTTAGACTTCTTTTCTTCAATAGGTTATGGACTCACTCACATTTGCTTGAGTGTTTTGAAGTTCTTTGAAATGGTTGTTGATATGTAGAGTAGATCAATTTGTTGTTGCTGATGTTAGGATTTAGAAGTACCTAACTTTCAGACTCAGATCTAGGTTGAGGTCTTGATTTATGCTTATTTATGATTGAGAGCATTTTTGGTGTTGGTATTTGGTTTTTCACCTTAAAGCAAAGTTATACAATACTTGCATTATGTTTTCTTGTTGAAATAGATCTTTGGTGGTCTAACTTTGTAGTTTCATGTCTTATAGATGTTGAATGTGCTTAAAACGCCTCTTATTGTGCATAAAAGTATTTTGTAAGCATTAGAGTGATATTTGAGTGGAAAATCTAATTTTAGACATTTAGATATGTCATTAGACTTGTAAAAAGTCTTAGAAGTGAGTTTGAGAGTGTTTTTTAGAAGAAGAACACAAATTTGTTCACAAAGAGGGATTTTGAGATTCTAAGGCAGCAATACTTCCTTGTTGATTTTGAGAGCATTAGGACTTCTTCTTTCAATCCTTTTTAGAACATCTCTCCCTTAGACATGGCTTTAAGTGACGGTGAATGATTGAAAGTAATTGAGAAGTTCAGAGGTGAGAATTTCTACTATTGGAAGGTCAAAATGGAGCTTTTATTGTCGTCTTTGGATCTTTGGGATATTGTAGATGAAAGTGAAGAGACTCCATGCATAGATGCTGATATAAAAGAGAAGGAGTTCATACATTGTAAAAAGAAGGCTTTTAGATTGATTGCAACCAATGTGGATGAAGCCAACTTCTCCCACATTATCTCTTGCAAAGGACTAGAGGAAGCATGGAAGACTCTTTGTAACATCTATAAGAGCAAGAGCTTATCCAATATCATCTATACAAGGATGAAGTTCTTCACTTACAAGACGAAAGAAGGTAAAGACCTCATGGTTCATGTCAATAAGGTAAAGGCTCTTGCAAACTAACTAGCAATTATTGACAAGTCTTTAGAAGAAAGTGATATTGTCATGACCTTACTGATGAGCCTTCCCAATTCCTACAACTACCTTATTGTGGTATTGAAGTCCATTAAGCTAAAAGAACTTACAATGGACTATGTGACAATAAGACTTATCCATGAAGTAACCAAGAAGAAAAAAAAATGAGCCCCAAAGTGAAGATTCAGCACTCTACTTAGGTCAAGGCAAAAGCAACTATTTAAATCAACAAGGTAATGTCAAATCTTGCTTTATTTGTAGCAAAGTAGGCCATTTTGCTCGAAATTACTACAAAGGCAAAAAGATGGAGAAGTAGAATGTAAATAGTATTCAAGATGAGTTTGGAGGACAAGATTATGCATTCACGACAACAAATGGGACCTCTATAGCTGCCATGTCAAGATGGATTGTGGATTCAGGGTGTTCTAAGCATATGACATCTTATAAGTATTCATTTTACACTTATGATGCTATTTATCAAGGACAAGAACTCAATGAAAAGTAATTCAAACAAGTGACCCTTCTCTCAAAGAAAGGTAACAAAACATAAATAAACAAGTATATATATTAAAAAAAATTGGAATGGCTATTGCCAAAGACTAGAAAACATGAAGACTCTTGAAACTAGACTGGAAACAAGAAAAGAGTTGACAAGAGTAAAGAGGGCTTCACTCTTGCCTTTATATATATTATCTAATTAAGAGCTATGTGGCGATATGCTATTGGACCTCCAATACGCGTTCAACTTGTAAGACACATGTCTAATTTGTAGAGCAAGTTGCTTAGATGTGCGCCACATGTCTAACTTCTATTGTTAAAGATCAGCAAGCCCTTGCTTAGTTACTAGTAGCTAAAGATTAATCATAGTAAGTTGCTAATAGTGAATAGGCAACAAAGCGGTAAAAAGAAGTTACCATGGTGGTGGCTAGGGTTTAGTTGGATGTAAATGAATTTCATCTATATTAGATGAACGATCCACCTATAAGTAAAGAGTGTTGGAAGTAAGAGTCATCTTACTCCACACTTATATTTGTAAGCAAACCTTGCTAATGCTATGTGTTTGTAGTTTCTAAGCTTCTTTTCTTCAATAGGTTATGGACCCACTCACATTTGCTTGAGTGTTTTGAAGTTGTTTAAAGTCTTTGTTGATTTGTGGAGTAGATCAAGTTGTTGTTACTGATGTTAGGGTTTAGAAGAACCTAACATTCAGATTCAGATCTAGATCTAGATCTGGTTTTGCTCCAACTTTTGGATAAGTGCATTTTTGGTGATGGTATATGTTTTCACATCAAAGTAAGGTCATACAACGCTAGTATTGTGTTTTCTTACTGAATTAGATCTTTGGTGAACCTACTTTGTAGTTTCAAATCCTAAAAGAGTCTTAAAGTGCTTAAAAGGCCTCTTATAGTGTATAGAGGAAATTTATGAGCATTAGAGTGATGTGAGAGTGGCAAACCAGATCTGAGATGATTAGAAAGGTCATAAGACTTATGAAAAGTCTTAGAAGCTAAGTTGAGAGTGTTTTGTGAGTAAAAACACTAGTTTGATCATAAAGAGGGATTCTAGGATTCTAAGGCAGCAACATCTTCTTCCTGATTTTGAGAGCATTAGGACTCTTTTTTTTAATATTTTTTGATACATCTCTTCCTTAGAAATGGCTTCAAGTGAGGAAGAAGGTTAGAGAGCAATTGAAAAATTCAGAGGTAAAAATTTCTACCATTGGAAGGTCAAAATAGAGCTTTTGTTGGCTTCTTTGGATCTTTGGGATATTGTAGATGAAAGTGAAGAGCCTCCAAGCATGGGTGCTGATATGAAGGAGAAGAAAGAGTACACACGATGTGAAAAGAAGGCTTTTGGATTGATTGCAACCAATATGGATGAAGCCAACTTCTCCCACATTATCTCTTGCAAAAGACTAGCGGAAGTATGGAAGACTCTTTGCAACATTTATGAGAGCAAGAACTTATCCAATATCATCTACATAAGGAGGAAGTTCTTCACTTGCAAGATGGAAGAAGGTGAAGACCTCATAGCACACATCAACAAGGTGAAGGCATTTACAAATCAACTTGCTGTCACAGACACACATCTTTACTTCAATAATTACTTATATAAGTAAGTAGAAGTAGGTAAAAGTAGGTTAGTTTCATAATATCTTCTAGAGAAGCTTTCTAGAAACTTCATTGACATGTTTTTGACTTAACACGAGTTTATTGTTGACTTTTAGGTTAGAAACTTGGTCAATAAGTTAGCCACGTGTCACATGTCTTAGTGTCACGGCCATAATCATGTAAGCTAACAATTACATATAGATAGGTAGAAGTAAGTAAAACTAAATAAAAGTAAGTTAATTCTATAGTATTTAATATGCAAGCTTCTTAGAAGCTTTTTAGATGCTGCTTTGACTTCATAGGTGTCTTTAATTGACTTTTTGGATTAGAAACGTCGTCAACAAGTTGGCCATGTGCCACATATATTGTTAGCTTAAAGATCAAGCTAACTATGTGGCTCGCACATAGAAAAACTTGCCTTGTAAGTCAAAGCATGTGTCCTACAAAGTCAACACATATTGGAGGTCCTATAGAACGTCGCCACGTAGCCCCTAGTTAGATAGTATATATAGAGACAAGAGTGAAGGCTTCTTCACTCTTATCAACTCCTTTCTTGCTTCTAGTCTAGTTTCAAGGGTCTCTAGTTTTCTTGTCTTTTGGCTATAGCCATTCTAGTTTCTCTCTTTCAATATATATACTTATTTATTTATATTTTGTTACCTTTCTTTGAGTGAAGGCTCACTTGTTTGGATTATTTTTTCATCGAGTTCTTGTCCTTGACAGATTAACAAGAGTACATTTACAATATCAGAGCTTTGTTTTTCTTGAGTAAGAGTGGATTACCCCTTTCTCTTGACAAGACATAAGTGTATTAGAAGTTTGCGGATTACCGACTTCTAAACTGATATTGTTCTTAGTATCTTCTCTGTTATCAAGTCTTTCTTTTCTTTTGTCTTGAGCAGTATCAAACAAATTTTTCTTCTTAGTGTCATTATGGCAGAGCTTCTTGAAATGAAGAGTGCAATGGCACAAATGTAAGAGCAAATGAGGGAGTTAATGCTTGCGATGCATCAACTCAATTCACCAACACAGGAAAGAACAAGAATAGCAGAAAGTGGGGATATAGAGATGATCGGAGCTGCTTCAACATCTGCAACAAATCTCGTTCCTTCTCCAATTGTACAATATCCTGTAACCACTAGAGAACCAAGAATTGCCTTACAAGAGAAATTTGATGGTACAAGATCAAAGTTTCAAGGATTCATCAATCAAGTACAATTGGCAATTGAACTTCAACCGTAAAGCTATCCAACTCCAGGATCACAAGTCAAGTTTATTGGCACTCTACTTTCTGGTTCTACATTATCGTGGTTTTCATCTTTTCTTGAACAACGAAATCCAATATTGGACAATTTGAAAGCTTTTTTGGCGGAGTTTTGATCTATGTATGGTGAATACGATGCAACTCGTGTTGCAACAAATATGATCCGAATTTTGCGACAAGGAAATCGTTCAGTAACAGTGTATGCTTCACAATTTTGACAACTTGCAATTCACATCAAGTAGGATGATGCTGCACTCATCAGTCAATTTCTTTATGGATTGCAATACGAAGTAAAGAAATTGATGCTCAACTTACCTGATCCTCAAACTTTGAGTCAAGCAATCGATTTTGTGGTAAAATGTGATAATCGACTTTTTGAATGTCGATCCGAGAATCATTCACGGGAACCTCAACGTTATTACTCAATAGCAACATCAACATCTTTGCCAAACGTACATTCGGAAGTAGATGACATGCAAATTGACGCGGTACGTTTTAAATCCCTAACTGAGCAAGAAAAGATTCGTCGTCGTCAAGAAGGATTATGTTTATATTGCGGAGAACCTAAGCACACTGCTCAACATTGTCCAAAGAAACGACGCAACTATAAAATGAGGGGTACGACGGTCAAAAAAGACAACGTGTCGGGAAACGGATTCGTCCAGCTACAATAGGGACCATGCAGTTGGAACCTTATACAATTCCTAATGAAGGTCCTATCCTCTCTTCAGAACCCTCTCTTTGTTTTATAATAGACCCATGCTTGTAAATTTCAATAGCTTTACCATGTCAGGATACAGTCTTCACTTGAGATGGACGTAGACTTGATTGCTCTTGCAACTCATAGATTCGTGACTGTTTGTAGATAACATTGGTTTTAGGAACAGTGATGGCTTTGTTTTCTCGCTGGTTTCTCTTCTTTGTTTTCTCGCTCATTTCTCTTCATCGTTGAAACGCTTTTCCATTGCGTTGGGGTTCGTCTTGAGAAATCGTGATTTAGTTGATGATTTTTGTGAATTGCAGTTAGTTGTACAAGATTTTGCGAGCTGTTTTCTTGTTCTTGATTGCTCAGATGACAGCTCTCTTCCACGCATAGGTTGTTTTCCCTTGTTGCATCATGCGTGTTGCTGACATGCTTTTCTTTAAATAATACTCTGCATGATTTTAAGTAGAATGCTATTCGGATTTGCAGTTTTTTTTGGATTCGTGAATCGTGTGCACCTAAACATCTGTTTCTGTATTTCTGCTACCGTGTAGAGCTAAACTGTACTATAACCTAATGTTAATTGAATGCTTCGTTAGCTCTACGAGGCTTTTGATTCATTCTCGACGCTTTCATCGACTGTCATCCCCTGCTATTTTGTTTTCTAGCATCAAAAGAAAATTTACTAAGAACTCGCAGATCTGCAGTAAAGATGAGCTTCATGTCCTCGTGGACAATCCAGGATGGCAACTGTGTTTCCGAGTATGACTCACCGAGGCTTGACAGAGAGTGTGACTCAAAGGTAAGCTAGTTCATTAACGTGAACCGAAATGAAAAATGCAGGTTTGACGTTTTCAGGATGCAATACCTGCACATCCTGTGATGTCGTTTCAGGTTAAACAAATTTTGTGAACAAATCTTGGTCTGGACAGATTCAAAGTCATGCCCTGCGACATGATGGTTATAACGCTGAGGTAGGAGAGGTCAAGCTGGAACACAAGATGCGGCAATTGCAAGAATCAGAGCTTAAATCACCCTCGAAAATACTTCCTCCCCGTAGCCTTATGCGGCCTAAGGGCCCCGCATATGTTCGATTGTGCCCATTCTCTCCCTCCACAAAGTCTGTAAAGTCTGATTGGACATTCCTTACACCAGTGCCTAGATCCAGTTGAGATTCTTAATCACTGAATCACATTTGAGAGCCCTCGCATGGAAGAAATTGCATGTTATTTAATGTACTTGCTTAATGCTCCTATAGCTCTGAATTCCAATTGCATTAAGCTTTACGAAGGTGTAATAATAAAAAAAATCGATTTTAATCATTGCTTTTCTTTCCTTATTCCTTTGCTATGCAGATTTTCTGAGAAAGCTGGATAAAATGTTTTTCACACGGATGTAAGCCACCACCTTCCTTTCAACCAGATTTTGGACTCATTTTTCACATATTTTCTTCTTTATTATCAAATATCTGAATAGATACGTCCATGTTTCATTATCTTTAGCGCCCAGTCCGAGGTGTCACCAAGTCTGCCCTTCAATTTAACAGGTCTCAAGGATTAGCCAGAAGACTAATGACCAGTTGAAGAAAGCACTAGATTTCAAGTGAAGGAACTCCATGGATATCTTAGAGGACAGTGGTATGAGCACCTATGAGGAAAAGAATGTTCCATGCTCCGGTATGTCTGGCTACCTGGTATTTCCTGAATTGAACCTCTTACAACAGGTTATTGTACGATCATGGTGGCTTATGGGTCTCTTTTCAACAGGGTCTATTCGTCTCTCAGAAGAGAGCGTCTTTCTGTCACCCAATATCCAATATGACAATCCCATATACGAAGAAGAGCCTCCCACAATAAGTGAAAGGTTGGAATCCCTGGAGAAAAATATGTGGGCCCTCTCACCCATCTCAGCCCAAGTATTTTCACCTTCCAAGCCCAGTAACGTATCCATGATGGTTTTGGAATTTGAAAACTCGGGGACCTGCAGTACCCCTGGGCGTGAAGGCACCTTATCTTATGAAGGATCATTTGCTCAGACTCCTGGTGTAAGCCCTTCTCTTGCTGCCTTGCCTACTTCTGGATCATTATCACCCTTTCTGCAATTTCAGCGCAAGGATCCTGATTTACAGGTTAAGTTCTGAATCATATCCTGTCCATTATATTCCACATTTAACTCTATTATGTCTCTATTGTTGGACCTTCATCTACAAGAGATCCTCAAATTCTGATGTATCAAATTCTGAACCTAGCTGAGTAATATAGTCAATGTGATATTGTGTCTTCGAATAAATTCCCTTATTGTGGAGAAAACTAGAAATGTGTTTTTTGACATATGCTAATGCTTTGATGTTAACAGATGACGCTTGTGAAGCAGTCCCTTGCCGTGATCAATACAGCAACCAGGTTAGTGTTTTGTTGAATTTTGGAGCATGTTCATGTTCATTAACTGTAGCTTTCAGATGAGGATTTTTAATTAACTAAAGTTTTTCAAATTTTTCTCATTCCGTTTATTTACATGCTAAACTTCTTGTATTGTGTATGTTCAGGGAGGAGCTCCTGCAACTCAAGGTAAGCCTTTTTTGGTCTCATGGGATAAATGATTCTCTCCCTTCTGCCAAGTATGACACCTATACATCTAGATCATATTAGCTCAACTACATGTTTAAGACTGACTACACCACTGTTTGAATTTATAGGGAATTGGACCTAAACGAGCAGCAGAGATACTAGAGTTGCGACAAAACTGTGAGGAACCATTTAAAAAGGTATGTTTATTTCTTCACAGTCTCTCCTATGCGTGACCTTTACTACTCAATCAAACCCAAAAGCAAAATCCACACAAAAAGTGTTCCATTATTAATCATGTCAGAAAGCCATTCTCTGATTTTCAAGTATGTGTTACACTCGCTTAGGATCGCCATTTGAATTTTGCATGAACCTGTTTTGCTATCTTCACCTAATCTACTGCATTGTTGTCATGTTGCAGTTACAAGATCTCAATAGTATTGGAGTCAGTGACAAACAGGTGCATTTTCAATTTTCATTTCTGATAGTATAAGATGACTCATAAATCCTATGCTACCTCGTGTGGTTTTAAGCTTAGAACACTATTTGCTATATAGTTTTTAGTTCATATCAGTAATCCTGGTGCTTTATCATGTCTCTGCAGTGCCTGATGTTGGTTATGTGCTTGAGTGATTGATCTGTTACAAATAGAACATACGTCTAAAATATTTTGCTGATTGATGCTTGCAGGCATTCTCACTGTTTAATAGGAGCATTGTAGAGAAGGTTATTTTCCTTGATTATTGAGAGCTTCCTGTCAAGAGATTGTGAATTTGCAACCTATAAAGCAAAGCAAACCTTAGCTCAGTGAGTGCGCGGAGGAATCCGAGAGGACTTGTGTCATTACTAAAAAGTGGGGTCCTTTTTGACACAGTTTACGACACCGAAACGTTGTAAAATGATGATAAATATTTGCATTTTTTGACATTTGAATATTGAAAAAAGTGTCAAAAACCGTCTTAAATCATGTTGTACTAAATGTCTATAAGATGTCATTGTTTATGGCACAATGTTCAACACAGCTTTCCACATAGTGTTTGATGTGGTTTTCAACATACTCTCCTACATTGTTTTTGACATTTTTTTAACATACTTTGTGACATATATTCGTGCATAACCTTCAACATATAATTTGTCATAATGTTTTATATGTTTTTTTGACATGATTTTCAATATACTTTTGGCATAATGTTAGATTAAAAAAACAATGTTTTGGATCATATGTAGTAGAAATTGTTCATGATAATGTGACTTATTTATTTCAAAGGGGAGATGGGACAAGGATAAAAATGCCAATTGCGGAAAAGCGAGTGAAGATATATAAATGAAGGCAAATAAGAATGAATACAAAAGATCTTATAGACAATATAAATCTTTCAAGACAAAGAGATGATTTTGATAGCAAAAATAAAGACAAAGAAGAACTACGTGAAGACATTGGAAATATAATATGGAACGTACAAAGTTGAATTATTTGGCACATACCGGAGGATGCACAGGTTCACAGGGGGTGGATGTCGTGTTATAACACGTCTATGTAGTGAAAAATGATAATATGGATTTTATTATAGAGAAGCCAAGTTAAAAGATAAAGTAGAAAAATATGGATAAAAGATAGGAAGGTAATAAAACTTTAAATAGTAATGCTACCTTTTTAAAAAGGTGACTTCTATTTACTTTATAGAGTCATAAATAAGGCAAAATAAGGTATATTAGAAAAATAAAAGATATAGGCATGTATTGGAGGGATTTGGGAATTGGTTTTAGCAAAAATTAACTCAAAAGAGTAAAAATTGATATCCAAAAGGGACCGGTTATCAATCTGGGTCGAAATCAGACCCCGAGGCGCAAAACCGAGTTCCGATGACGACTTCGGAGTTCTTTGGCAGATCAAAGAGTTGGATTAGGGAATAGACTTGTGAAGGTTTCTATAGGCGTTGGTTTTGAGTGATTTGGATTTGTATTGACTTTGCAAAGGCTTTGCAAAGTTAGGGCTTGTTTGGGATGACTCTGGATTTGTAAAATAAAATGGGAGATACCTTTTGGAGACTTTCGTACGTTTGACAATGGATCTACAAGTGAAAATTTGAGGGTTTGTGGGTGTATATGTGGTCAACATATGCTGTGAGTTTGAGCTTAATCGAAGGATTGGATTTTGGGTTATTGAGGTTTAAGTGGGTCTAGGTCTCAGAAAGTAGAGTTTGAGGACCAGTTAGGGTTTCTTAGATATCTAGCAATCTGCTAATTAGATTTTAGAGATTTTTATTTTTATGAGTAGAAGACATGATTTCGTATAAGCTAGTAAAATTTGGAAGAAATTGAATGGTGAAAGGGAGTGATAACAATGTTGGAAGTTTGGTAACCAGATTGGAGAAGGAGGCCGGCCGACATCCGAGCAGAATTTTGAGGTTATCTTCTAATTGGTAAGTGCGATTGCCTTCAAATTTTGTGTGCTTGTTACTAACTTAATTTCCAAGAAGTGTGAAAATTTTGATTTATGATCAATGGTTCAATCATTAATTATTGAATTTTCAAATCTGTGATTAAGATTTTATTAAGATTTGGATAGGATTTGGTTTTGGATTTGGTTAGGATTTGATTAGGATTCGGATTAGGGTTTAGGGTTTGGCTTAGGATTAGGGTTTAGGATTTAGTTTAGGATTAGGATTTAGGATTTATTCTAGGATTTGGTCTAGGATTAAGGTTTGGGGATTTGAGATTTAAGATTTGATTAGGGTTTGATTAAGATTTAGGATTTAGGGTTTGATTAGGGTTTGATTAGGGTTTGACCAAGATTTGACCTAGATTGACTAGGTTTGACTAAGATTTGACTAGGGTTTGACTAGGATTTTATTAAGGTTTGACCAAGGTTTGACTAAGATTTGACCAAGATTCGACCAAGGTTGATTAAGTTTGACTAGGGTTTATTTAGGGTTTGACTAAGATTTGAGTAAGATTTGATTAAGATTTTATTATGATTCAATTAGAATTTACTTAAGATTCTTTGTATTTTTCTTACAATTTCTTTTGAATTTATTTGGACTTGATGAATATTTAATTATATTATTAAGTTTTGAATTCAATATAAATATAATTTTATTAAGATTGTTAGGACTTGTTCTTGTAAATTCTCCTTTACCTTCTACAGCAAGGTGCCTAGTGCATTCTCAAGCAAGACTTCACATAATACGACAGCGGACCTATAGATAACTTGCCTTGCAAGCTAAGACATGTGGTTCACAAAGTCAACAGATATTAGAGGTCCTATAGGACATCGCCACGTAGCCTTTAGTTAGATAGTATATATGGAGGCAAGAGTGAAGCCTTCTTCACTCTTGTCAATGCCTTTCTAATCCTTAGTCTTGTTTCAAGACTTTCTAGTGTTCTTGTCTTTCGCAATAGCCATTCCAGTTTAATATAATATCATCCTTGAGTGATTTCTTAGTCTTTTCGAGTGACACAAGAGTGTATTGAAGATTTTCTTTCTTCGAGATTCATATCCTTGACAGTTTGACAAGAGTGCTAACTTACTGTTTCTGTTTTGTTTTGTAGATTACTCTACTTTTATTGTTGTATTTTGAAGGTTGTGGACTACCCACTTTTAAACAAACGATCTTGTTTTCTAATACTGATTGTTTCCTTAAAGAGAGTGGATTACCCCTCTTTGTGGAAATTTTCATTTAATATTAGAGGTTGTAGATTTCCCTCCTCTAATTTAACGTTTTGAATTTATTTGAGTTGTTTATGGAGGGAAAGATTATGGATGCTACTCTGAGTGGAAGTGAGAATAGATTTGCAACTATTGCAGATCTTCACGAGCTTGTCAACACTCTAAGAGTAGAAATCTCATGTATTTCTAATGTAAATCATGGAAGTACTATCCCTACGCATATGGAAGAAGTTCAGAATCTACGTCAAGAAGTTGTGCAGTTGAAGGAAGCAAATAGATCAATTTCACAACCAAATCCAAGAGGTTTTGCTTCTATAAGTATGATGGGGATAAGGATTAGTATGCCCGAGAAGTTTGATAGAACAAGATCAAAATTTTGAGGATTTCTGCAACAAGTCAAGCTCTATCTAAGGTTGCATCCCTTTCAATACCTTGATGGATTTACTCAAGTTGGATTCATAGGCGCACTCCTATCTAAAAGTGCTCTCTCTTGGTTTGCACCTTTGATGGAAAAGGATTTGCGACTCTTTTATGATTTAAATTCATTCCTTGAAGTGTTTACAACCACATTCGGAGAAAGTGATCGAAAAAGAATAGTAGAGACCAAGCTTTTATCTTTACAACAAGGATCGCGGTCAGCTACCATATATGCTGCTGAATTCCAAAACCTTGCTTGTGACGTGGACTGGAATGACAAAGCCTTTATTAATCAATTTTGATATGGGTTGAAGAATAATGTTAAAGATTTGTTATTAACAATGCCAAAAGTAGATTCTTTGGAATAATTTATTGCTCAAGCCATTGCATGCGACAATCGATTATTTGAAGGCATCAAGAACAAAGACTCGGTTGGAGAGGAACAAGTCAAGTAATAACAACAATGCCCAAGTTTTCTGAAACTTATTCATCAAGGCCGGAACCAATGCAAATTGATATGGTACGTTTTAAACCCCTCACAGAGTAAAAAAAGACTCATCGTCGGCTAGAGGATTTATGCTTATATTGTAGAGAAGCTAAGCACACTGCTCAACATTGTCCAAAGAAGCAACGCAATCACAAAATGAGGAGCATGATTGCCAAGGAAGACAATGTGTTGGAAAACGAGTTTCTCAAACTACAATAGGGATCGTGTGGCTGGAATCATGCACAACACCTACTAAAGGTCCTATTCTTTCCTTAGATCCCTCACCTTGTTTTACAATAGATGTATCTTTAGGTCCTAAAAATCACAAAGTCTTTGCATTATTAGATACAGGAGCCTCAACCTGTTTTATAGACAAAGATTTTGTCAAAAAATTAGAAATACCTTTGATCAAGAAAACTAAACCTATACATGTAGAAGTCATAGATGATTGTTTGTTGTCTTCTGGAGATGTTATCCATAAGACTATTCCTTTAGATGTAGAAATTAAAGATGATAATAGCATAGTAATATTTAATGTAATAAGACCTCGTTCAATCGTGTTATTTTAGGATTATTGTGGTTAAAAAATATAACCCTCAAATAGATTGAATTTCTCATAATCTTAACTTTGTAGTAGTTTAATCCAAAATCCCACTAGTCAAGTGGAAATACATAAGTCTGGTACATCCAAACCCTTACTAATAGGTGCGAGAGCTTTCATGCATGCCGCAAAAGAAGGGTCATCTTTTGCT